TCTTACAAAACTATTACAATAGTGATCGATTAGCAAAATATTATGAGAAACAGACTTGGAAACCAATAGTTGTTGTTGAAACATAGCAAATTTCTGGAAGAAATTTAATTTGGAAAGAAGTGACACAATGAAAAACATTTTGAAAATCTTGTATTACTTTAAAATATATATATAGACAACCTAACTGTGCAAATTTCCCTAAATTAACAATTTGGCAATTTAAAAATGAATACTATTATTCAGCAACCTAATACTATTCAGGCCCTACAAAATTTTATTTCTATTTGGAGGCAAGACTCTGCTGCTCAATACAATTTAGAAATCTTCTCTCAAAATGTAATACTATGGGATAACCAAGTGCCAGACCAAGTTATTGATATTTCATCACAGCTTGAAGAGACAGCTTTAAGTGAAATTGATCAACTTATTGGAAGTTTGGATAAACCAATTAATAATTCAATCCCTATTTTAGAAGAAGAATTAAATGAACAAAATCCACTTGTGAAAATAAAAGAAGACCTCATGTAACCTCTTGAACCTCAGAAAGCCTCTCGAATCTTACCTTTTAAAAAAACAACTTGGAAGAAAAAACTTAACGATATTTTGAAAAAACTTTCTACTCATGCTAAGTCAAAAGAAAATCAGATCAAAACTCTTGAAGCTTACTATTATTTGGGAACTTTTATTCAAGAAAATGAAGCTAACCAAGAACAGATTAAAGAATGAATACAGGAAACCAATGGTGCTTGCAAAGCTTGAGACATTTGGAAAGGAGCTCATTGTATTCAAAAGATTTTCACTCTTCAACTGAAAGCTATAATCTACTAGACAAAATACTTGGCTACTACACAAGTTGTCAGGCTTACTGACAAAGATTTTACTTCTTTGATTAAAAACTTAGAAGATAAATTTGCAGAGCAAATTTCTTAAGAGAATGGAAATATTATAGAATGAATTTTATTATTATATTTTAGTATAGTTTCATAAATGTATATTTTATTATTAATTGTTAGTATTATT